CTGGGCTCGCCGGCCCTGTGCTCTCCCGCGCCGTTTCACTCTTCGCTGCTGGCAACCACCAAGTGCGCTGTCTTCTTGGCGCGCGGCCGGGAGCAGGAGCCCGAAGGCTTCGACCGCTGGGTCCCGCCGCCGCTCTTTGTTTGGGCGCCGCCATCTTGGAACACGTGCGGGGGGGGGGGGTTTGTGCCGGGGCCGACTGGCTCTTGCGTTCAGCCGGCCCCGCTTTGGTGGAGCTGCCGTCCTCTGACTGTTGCAGCAGCGCTTCCTCCAGCCTGTCCTGCAGCCTGACTCCCGGTACCTCGGGAGTGCTGTGGAAGGCATCGGGCTGCTGCTCCTCAGGACGCTCGATCGCAGCCATTCTCCTTCCCGGTACCTCGGGAGGCGGTTGGCCCGTGTAGTTCGGAGGCTTTTCCTCCTGAAGATCTGCCTCTCTTCAGCTCTATCAGAGCTCTTGTAGCAACCTCCTCCTTTTTTAAGGTTTTTAAATTATTCGTAAGTACTTAGCCCTAGGTAGGCTGGCTTGGAGGGAGCTCCAGTAGTCCTACCGAGCACAGGGCTATGCAGGAACTGGAGAGGTCAGCCTAGGCCACTCCAATAGGAGCCACGCAACAAAAGAAATTTGCATAGCCTATCGAGCGAGCAGAGGCGTGACCTAACCAGTTCCTGGATGACTTCCCCCCACTGAAGGAGAATTTCAGATATAAATCTCCTCTGTTCTTCCGTCTGTTGCCCTGCAAGAGCCTTGTGCTGCATCTATAAGGTTATGGACTATAACTGTAAGCTGGACTGTACAATAAGTGTGCCAGGGTATTGGACCGTGCGGTGGCCAGAAGATGGTGCCAACCTCCTGGACTGTAGGCCTGTGCCCAGCCGAGGGAAGCCTCGCCCGGAAGCAGTATGCTGAGCCAGACCTGGGCCTGTGGAATACCCGATGCATCTCACATCTGCATCCCCGCAGAAGGCAAGCCAACCTCCCTGACACCACAAGTACGCAGAAACCAGCAGCGGTTCACTAGGAAGGAGCCACGATCTGCAGAAGAAACCTGAGCATTCCTGCAAAGACACCATGGAAAGACTTCTTCGCCAACACACAGGCACCTTCCCAACCCCCCCCTTTGCCAGAGGCTGCACGTACTCCTCTGTAAACAAAAGAACTTACTCCATGAAAGGATTAAGCAGCTGTCATGTCCACCTGCTGTGATAACGCAGCAGCTGCTGGTCGTTGGGTCATTAAAGACTAACAAACGTCCATGGAGCTGGGACATTACTACCTTTTCCTTTCTTTCGTCTCTCCAGAGGTGTCACCATTAGTTGAATGTTATTGCAATTGCCCAGCCACTAAACCCATCATCCTGACCATCGGTAACTGGATTTTTCTAGATTTCCTGGGGACTACGTGACTGGTGAAGCATCCCCCTCCCAGTCATTTCAGGATATAAAAAGAGAGCATCTCCCCATTGGTCTCTCTCTCGCTTCCTACCTACCTGGCCCCATCCTATATTGCTGGCTCCAATCTTAGCACTGTTTAGAGTCTCCCACGTGCGTTGCTGGCCAACAGACGACCCTTTCCCCAAGTGTTTCCCTATTTTTGCTGCAGGATCACTTCTTCACGTCAGACAGGTAAAGTATCGCCCTCCTCAACGATACCTTCCCGCTAATGCAACTGTCGCTGTACCTTTCTAATATTCTTAGCTCCGTATTGATTGAATGTGTGATTGATTTTCATGTTGTATGTGATAATTACTAGTAAAGAAATCACTCTCCTTTAAGATCGCCTCTGCGTCTATTTCTGGGGATCTGGATACGTTGGTCTCCAGTATACATAGGTTATTGTTTCCTTAATTAAAGCCATTTCCATTTAATATTCATATTTCCCCCATTTTATTAAAGAAATATCCTGCCAACCTAGCAGTTTGAAAGCAAGAAATTGCAAGTAGATAAATAGGTACCACTTCGGTGGGAAGGTAACAGCGTTCCGTGCGCCTTGGGGTTTAGTCATGCCGGCCACATGACCACGGAAACGTCTTCGGACAGCGCTGGCTCTTCGGCTTTGGAACGGAGATGAGCACCGCAACCCTAGAGTCGGACTCGACTGGCTTTCGAGCAAGGGAACCTTTATTCAGCTAACATGTCTCATGGGCAGACTAAGGAGGAGGTCGAAGCGGGCAAGGTGGAAGAAAAGAGGAGGGTGCCAGCTATGATGGAAAACCGTTGCTGTCCTCAGCCAAAAGCTTGGCGGAACATCTCTGCCTTACAGGCCCTGCAGAATTGCATTAAGTCCTGCCCTGATGGAAGTTGGCAGAGTGTTCCACCAGGTCTGAGCCGGGGCTGAAAAAGTCCTGGCTCTGGTTGGGGACAGCCGGATATCTTTGGGGCCAGGGATCACCAGCAGATTGCTCTCAGCAGAGCATAATGCTCTCCCGGGGACATACCAGAGGAGACAGTCCTGAAGATACGCTGGTCCCAGACCGCTCAAGACCTTAAAGGTCAGCGGAGATTGAGACTCTCGCCATGCCCTGCCCCTTTGGACCTTGCTGCGTGAGCGACCCCGTTCTACGGGGTTTAGCGGAACCACCGGGCGTCACCGAGTGATGAAGCGAATATCCGAAAAAAATGGAAAAGAAAAGACTGGCGTAACTGTGAGTTGTCAAAATACAGAGAAAATGAACTAAGAACGTTCCCCCCCCCCTTCAGCGGAAAATGAGGAGGTTAATCCTCTATAAGCGTGAAAGAAAAAAAGAAAAGAGGGGGGGAATGGACTGAGCGAATAGTGATGTTTTCCTTTGATGTACTTGAAAATAAGCAAGAAAAGGTTTTGTTTCTCTAGAGCGCATTTTAAAAACTTTACTAAAAATAAAAAAACAAGATGTCGGAGCTGGGTAAAGACAAGCGGAGGAGAAGGGAGGGACTTCCGTCTGGGCGTTTGTGTCAACGTGAGTGCCGGCTGTTTAATATTTGGACTGTGTATAGCTATGAATCCAACGGGGATTGTGAAGGAAAAGAAAAGTTTGAATTGTGACAGCGAAAAGTGCCTCATGAGCGCTTATAAAAGTCAACAATTGAAGAGGAGAATCCAGCGAAGAGATTGGGAGCGGATAAAAGCGAAATTGAAATTAATACCATTCTCAAAGCTGGAGATCTCCGGGCATGGCATGAAAGGAAGATGACTAATTGCACAGGAACTGAAAGAGTTAACAGCGACCCGAAGGAGGAGGGGAATAAGCCGGAGGGAGAGAAAAAACAGAGGAAGCCCCTCCCGTCACTGAGAGCGGAAAAGTAACCAGCACGTAAAAGAAGCGGTTTTGAATGTGCCCTGAAGAGACTTTTTAACAGAAATTCAAAGGAACATTACTAACATACTAATACAGAAAGTAACTGGAATGGAAAAAAGATGTTTGACAACACGCAGAAGAAGCCTTTGATGATTGGACATTACTAACAGTTTAATCTAACAGTTAATAGATCACTCAGCTTTCTCTTCGTCCCACTATATACCTTCCTTATTCTTCTTTTTAAGCGAAACTCCTCCCCTTTTCAGGGGAGTCAATAAAATCTTTATACAAAAAAAAAAAAAAGACCTTAAAGATCAGCACCAATACCTTGAATCTGACTCGGTACACCACTGGAAGCCAGTGTAGCTGGCGCAGCACAGGCTGCATATGTGCTGTCTGTGGCGTTCCCGTCAGGACTCACGCTGCCGCATTCTGGATCAGCTGGAGTCTCCGGGTCAGCCTCAAGGGAAGTCCAGCGTCGAGTGAGTTACAGTAGTCTAATCGGGTGGTGACCATTGCATGGATTACTGTGGTTAGGTCAAGGTGTGACAGGAAAGGGGCTAGTTGCCGCACTTGGTGTGGATGGAGAAATGCCAGTCTGGCAATATCCATGACCTGGGCCTCCATAATTGAGGAGGCATCCAGGACCACAGATAACAGACATACAGTGCTCAAGAATTTATTTTTGACATTAATTGAAATAAGCATTTTCACCATCCTGGAAAAATATGCTTAACCTGGAATTTTGCTTACTAAATAAATTGTATTTAATACCTTTGCTGTGTTATTTGGCAGGTTTTTACTTGTTATAAAACTTGTTAGTGTAACCTGGGATGATTTTATTCAGCGCTGCAGCCAAGATGGCTGTATACTTTAAAAACTTGATTAAGAGACAGGAATGGAAGAGTCTGGGTCTGCTAAACCTTTTCCCCTCACCATTACAATAGTTCACTTCCCTGAAGGAGCAAGGAAGAATTCCAGTACACGTTACTTTGCAAGATGTTTTAGCATGTGGTTTTCTTAATATGGTACAAAAGCCTTGTTATGCTCTCATGGGAGACCATCTGGGCATAGAACTTTGCATTCTTTACTTTTATTGCTCTTCTGCTCATGGAGTCTTGAAACCAGACTCTTAACGGCCTCTGCTGAAAATTTACCATTTCTCCCATTTGGATCAATATCTTTAAGGACCATAAAGTAACACCAGAAAAGATACAGCAGGGAAAAACTCATACCAGGGCGTATCCAATACACCTTCAGAGCAAGTCTTTTATCTAAGTCCTATGAAATAAATATCTAAGTCCTATGAAATAAATGGCCAGCCCTGGCAGTTTTCACTCACCTTCTTGCCTTCTTCTTTCTCTCCATCCTTTTTCTTTTCCTTCTCTTTTTCCTTCTTCGATTTTTCTTCTTTTCCACTCTCCTTTTTGCTCTTTTTTTCATCTTCTTTCCCGCTTTCAGCCTTCCCTTTTTCTTTCTCTTTTTCTTTCTTTATGTCCTTGTCTGGCTTCATTTTCATCACTTTTAGTGCCCGATGAAAAAACTGTTTCTTTAGAAGCCTGGAAAGAAACATTAAATTCATACTCCATTTGTGTAAATGCTGCTAGAATTGAATTATATGGGCAAAAGCTTCAGAACTGCAATTTTACCTAATCTTTATTCTGCACTGCTTTTATCTTTAGAGAGAGCTTGGTTAACTTTCTTAAAAACACAGTTTAGTCAACAGTCAGTAACACTGCCTGGAACTGATTCCTTCCTGGCACTGAAGTACCCTGTCTGAATTATGTAATTTTGTCAGCATAACCTCAGGAACTGTGCAGACTGTTAGGACAGTAAAATCAAGAAGCGTCAGCAAGATACTCTTCCTTCTAACCAGAGAGCAAGACAACAACAATGAGGAGCAGATTAGATCTCTAGACTGAGCGAGCAATAACTTAAGAGATTTTTAACACAACCTGTTCTCACACATAACTTTAAAAGACTAAGTTTCTACCTGTTACAATAGTCAACGACAGACTCTCGAGTTGTAAACAGGGCCTCTTCTCCTTTCTTGGCTTTTGCCCACTTAGAATCCAAAAGGCAGTCCACAGCTTTCGAAGCTGAAAGGGGGGGGGGGGGGAGAGAAACAGAAGAAAAAGGTGATGCCTCAGCCTTTGATCTACCTAAATGGAAATTTTCAAAGATTTTCCTTTTAACCTCAGGGGACCAATAATGGAATTTTCTCTTTGAAGATGACTACCCCCATAGCTCTTAAAATAAGAGAGATGGAATCTTTATTTTTCCCCAAATCAGAAGAGAACACAAGTCATTATCTGAAAACCTCTGATGAGCTCAAGAGAAAATCTAAAAACAATGGTTGTTTTCAGTCTAAAAATCACGAAAAAAAATTACCCCCAAGAACACAAAACCTAAGGCGGGGGATACACTTAACTGGCTTCAGCGCGGAGCACTTAAGCGCCTAGTGTCTGGAAGCACTTTTAGACATTTTAAATTTATCCAGTCTTCTGTACCCTGGTCCTCTTATGATCATATGGAACGATCTTATAAGAAGTCAGACTACTGGTCCATGTAGCTCAGTACTGTCCACTGTACCTGGCAGTGGCCCAACACATGGCCTCCAGAGACTAACTGGAGATGACGGGCCTTGAACCAGGAACCTTATGCATGCAAAGCAAGTGTTTCACCACAGGTTCATGTGCAATCCTGAACTGGGACACTCTTCCAAAGTAGTTCATTAGCAGCACCTGCTGTAGCCCAACCCAGAGTAAAACATCACAAATGAGTTGTTAAATGGCAGGGAGGTTGTATCAGCAGGTATAAGTGTACCTCTCTATAAACTCCACCTAACTGCATGATGCAATTCTGAACAAGCTACTTCCATGTTGGTTTACCATCATGGCCAAACAAACTTTTGAAATAGCAACCAAGCAGAAAGCATAGGTCACATGACTATGTCATAAATCCCTGTGGTTTATCAGTTCATTTTGAAAATACTGATGTTTTTAGAATTTTGAAGCTTAGCTCATGGGTTTCAGTTCCAAAGTTAAGCGGACAGGACAGAGCTAAACAAACTGGTACCCACAGTATAGAAAATCCACAGGTTACTGCTGCTGCGGAAAAGACTGCAATGACAATTATTTGAAGAGATAAAAAAGAAAGGGGTGGGGATCATCCATTTGTCACCGCTTCTGCTGTCCTAAAGGGACATCAACTATCAGTAACTGAGGGAGGGGTACTGCTTTTGGGCACTGATTATGTGTTCTAACTGTCCCAATTTATCATGGCACCTGGAAAAAATTATAAAGACAGCACATTATCTGCTGCACACAGTGAACATAAGTATTCTGTGTCTTAAGCAGGGAAGTGATCGTTAGACTCTTCCACTCACACCCCAGCCTCCTAGGCTGAGTAGGGGACCCCTAGCATGTCATCTTCCCAGTAACGTTATGATCTTGGTAGTTCAGTTTGGATCAATGCAACCTTACCAATGAAATAGTCAACTCTGTGACCCATCATGTTGGTGGATTTGGTTGGACAATTGAAACGGAGATATTTAGCAACGGCCTTCTCTTCTTTGAATGGCTCACCAACCTCCTATAAGAGAAATATGGAACAAATACACATTTAAAACTCAAAGCTAGGACATTTTCATTTGGATTTACAGCTCCCTGCTTGAATTAACATGGATAAGAATATAAGGGAACTCAAAGCCAGTAAATTTCTTATTCAACGCTTGCCTGTCGTGGCTTGTACAAAAAGCCTGGCTTGGCTCAAACTGATTTTGCTTTTAATACATATCAGTGACGGAGGCTTGATCCTGCTGTCTAAAGGAAGTTGTAATCCACTCTCCTCTTGAAAAACTCTCAGTAGACCAGACTGTCCTCTCTATTTAGTTTTAAATAAAGTTAAGGCGATACAATGAAAATTGAGAGAAAGCTCCAAAGCTCTAGGCCAGGGGTGGTCAAACTTGCTTAAAGAGCCACATAGAATAAATGTCAGATGTTTGAGAGCCACAAGACATGAAAAAACATTACGCACACATTTTTATTGAAAGGTATGCAAATTTGCTTTTTATTAACATTAAATGAGGCTGTCAAAAATAAACCCCAACCCCCCCCCCCCCCGACTTGGCTTGGAGAAGGGATTTAAAGAGACAAATGCCTTCCCCAAGTCTTCTAGGGGGGGCTTTGAGAACATATTTAAAGTTAAAGTTGTTTTCTTTCTCTGTTCCCCCCTGCCTCAAGCCTACCCAGGGAGGGGAACACTGGCTGGGGAAGGGAAGACCTATCTGGGAGGCCTGCCTCCCCTTCGCTTCCCCAGCTATCCTGCTGGGAGCCACACAATATGTGCGAAAGAGCCACATGTGGCTCCCGAGCCACAGTTTGGACACCCCTGTTTTAGGCGGATACTAATTTTCTGGACCATTTTAGGTGTGGTTCGGAGCCAGGTTTGAGACAGAAATTGTCTTGGTTTGAAGCTGAGGTGCTGACTGAGAGAGACGGGGCTAAAAATCAGGAAATCCCATTCCCCGGTTCAAATGTCACCTCTGCCACGATTTAAGCAGACAGGCAAGCTATTGTCTTTCAAATTCAGCTCTCCACCTGCAATCCGGGGGGTTATAATATTCACCCATCTTGCAGAGCCGCCATAACTATTATAACAAGAAAAATGTATGTGAGGCACTCTGAACACTTGAATACACTATGGAAATGGTAGGGGGTTTTTTTAGTGGTAGACAGCAAAAGCGTGACTCCACTTGTTCTTGACCTTGTAGCGACATTTTATGAGCATCATGTTCTTCTGCGCCACTCAAGACGGCTGAGGATGAGGTGTGCAGCTCTGCAATGGCTGCATTTCTATCTAACAAGCTGGGCCTGAGAGTAGCAATGGGCAACTGTAGTTATGCTTTTACGTGGATGTAACCACTGGGGGAGGGGGGGGGAGATCATTTGGCGCTATGGAATGCAGGGGCATCAACAGTCATTATTGACTGTTTTATTGCTCATCATAGGTATTTGTGTAGTGGCTAAGTGTGTGGTGTAGTGGTTAAGTGCGCACACTCTAATCTGGGAGAACTGGGTTCGATTCCCCACTCCTCCACTTGCAGCTGCTGGGTGACCTTGGGCAAGCTATAGTTCTGTCAGAGCCATTCTGAAAGAGCTCTCTCAGCCCCACCTACCTCACAGGGTGTCTGTTGTGGGGAGGGGAAGGGAAAGGAGTTTGTAAGCTGTTCTGAGACTCCGAGTGAAGGGGTGGGGTATAAATCCAATCTCTTCTCCTCTTCTTAATGTTATTTTATTGATTGAAGGTTTCAGATCAGTTTTTCACACCATGTTGAGTGCCATCTAATAAATCAACTATCCTAAATGAAGCACACTCAAAGGAAAATGTATTCTCAGGTAAAATGCTGCAACTGAAGTACTGACGCGTTGCCATTGTACGGTCATACCTTTTAGTGCTGTTCCCCCTCCCCCTTCATTTTCCAAACATTTCACATACAAATAAGGGCAGCCAAACAACAAGGTGGGATTGTAAAAAAAAAAGCTAGATGAATTTTGTTTTTAAAATTCCATGCTAAGTAACATGTTGAATCATTGTATTGATTGAACGAGGTATTAAAAACAAGCTAAAACTCCGCTCAAGAATGCCCACCACCTACTCCATGAAGGAAAAATCATGTTGAGCCCGTGAAGCAAGTTTAGTGATGACACGACTGTGTGCTCTCTCTCGCTCTCTCTCTCTCTGTCTCTCTCTCTCAACTAGTAGCAGAGTTTAGGGGGGTCAAGGCTGTGCAAAAACTGTCCTGTGAATGCAACAGCAAAGATACAAAGCTCAGAGATTATTACTGACCTTGCTGAACTCTTCCATAAACTGCAGTTCGAGGCACTGCTACTATGGAGGGCTGTGTTTCAGCTAGCTCTCTACTATAGTGTAGAGTAGTAAACAGAAAAGGAGAGTTCGGAAAACGCAAAAGGAAAGTGCACAGAAAATGTACAGGTGGGATTATGAACAACCTTCGTTCACAAGTTATTTCTGTGATTCTAGTAGCAATATTTAAGTTCCAGAGGAAGGTAAAGCGTTTCATATGCAATCCCAGTGAGACCCAGAAACAAAAATGCTCTAGGATTAAAGTAAAAATTAACCACGGTTTAGAAACCGGAGGCTCGGATCATGTGCATTCCCCTTCCATTCCCAAACCCACAGTTCCCTGCCCTTTGCTCCTAGCTTGGAGTTTTAAAAAATAATTGGGGGGGGGGGGGGGGGAGATTAACAACAACAGATCCGTCTCAAGGAAAACGTTCTGCCTTGAATCTTCTGCCCAGAAAACTATCTGCAGTGATATTACACAGGAACATCATAGTTGCAGCACTGCTGCAGCAAATGGGTCCTAGACACACATACTGAATAAACGCTATTCATCTCAGGGGAACTTTTCAAGTATTTCCTACTGCGGAGAGTTGGAGCTACCATCACGGTTCTTGGTTATGATACCAGCTGTGCCAATCCAGGACACGACTGGCAGCAGGGAGTAGCTCCACACATTATTTGTAGGTAACCAGCACTCCAATTACCCACAAACCACTATGGGTGGGATCCAGCCAGTTTTTTGTCCAATCATATAGAATTCCGTTCTTTATTGAACGCCCTGTCCCACATGGCTTTTTGACCATGCAGGTCCCATGATCACCAACCTTTTTGGGTGGCTCTTCCTTTTTACCCCAACAGAACAAAAAACGGGTTGGATCCAATCCTCCATTTCAAAGCTGCTCCGGAATGACTCTTCCACTGAATGGAATGATGCACCAGCCACTAAGAAGCTAACTCTACAGCGCTAAAACTACAAATCAGCACCTCATTTCCACACAGATCAGAAGGAAGCTGCGGACGGAACGGGAGCGTTTCTTCTTCTTCTTCTTCTTCGTATCCCCACATGATACCTTTGAGCAGAAATGCACCGGGGCGAAGAGAGTGAGCGTGTCTAGCAGGTTTGCTCTTAATGGTACAGAAGGCACATGCAGCAGCAGCTGCTGCCAGAAAGGACTGGAAGCCAGTGCTGGGAAGGAAGTTATGCAAATAGGGAAGCGATGTCTCCATACCTTAAAACGCATGCTCATTCACCTTGTTATGACAACACCATTTTTTTTGCGCTAAGGGACTGTTTAGGAATGGTGCAACACAACTGCCTAAGTTATTTTTGCAGTGTGCAATCCTGGAAGCTTTCAAGAAACTCACAGATCTTGCTTTCAGCTCCTTGAAATGTGTTGTCTGCAAGTCAAGGACGGACAACCTGCTGTACACTGAGAAGTTATACCAGAAATACATAAACAGCAGTAACCTTCCAGCCTATGTGAACTTTTTTATACAGGTGTGATGAATCTTATTTCTATGAACATGATAGATCAGCCGTACAGTTACCTACTTGCCTGGGAAGAGTTATTAATTCCTCCCCCCCCCCTTTGACAACCTGCAATGCATACAATAGAAAGGATTTTTTTAAAGACATGGTAGACACAGCTGGGCAGTATCAAAGCGGGAATGTTTTGAAAGGTTTTGGTACACGATCAGGTATCCACAGTTATCAACTCAGACTCCAATCCCAGAATTATTAATTCAGCAAGACATTACAGCACACCAATTCCAAGCACTCTCAGATCAGCAAGTCCAGTGAATTCTGAATTCCCCTCATCTATCCCCGTGCTGTTGCTTATGGGATCCCTTAAACAGAAACAAAACACAGCAGTCAAGGACCCCTAATTATCCTATTTGCTACTGCTTTTAACAGCGCCACCCTAAGCAGAATTACATCCTTCTATGCCCGTTGAAATCAATGGGTGTAGATGGGTGTAACGCCGCCCAAGATGGAATTGTAAATCCCCTAATGTACATGCAAATCTGAAATTAACTCACATAGCAAAAAATTGTCTCAGTACTTGACCTACAAGTCAGGCCTACAAAAACATCTGCTTAAAGATGCAAAGCACGCAAAAAAGAAATAGCCCAGAAATCTCAACTTTCTGTCCTCAACCAATCTTCCATTGAGTTGGGGGGGGTATAATCATACCATTTTGAGCTAATATTTTACATCTCCCTTTTTTATCTCACTCAGGTACACATGAAGCAGCCTTATAGTAGCCATTTACACATGATCTCTCTGTACGCTGATGGAACATGCGGGGAGAGACAGCAAGTGCGATCGATGGGTTGTCTGCATGCTGCAAATGCACAGAGGAAGTGTCCATGCCTATATTCCCTCCTGTGATTGGAAATGCTGGTTTCCGAACACTGCTGATCACAGGGAGGCACGAACGTTTCCTTTGTGTATAGGCATGGTGGCGGAATGGGCCTGCTCCGGCCTTTGGGCCCTATTCCACCCTGCCCTCCAAAGACTTCCCAACACATGGAAAGGCTTATCTTTCTCTCTTGGGTAGCCTGCCACTACCACCTGACCTTTGTAGGAACTGCCCACTGGGAGGGTCAGGACTCCCAGCTTCCCTTCGTAGTTCTGAGGTCTTGCCTCTGTGTCTCCTGCTGCCTGCTGCCTGGTCACCACAGGGACTGTTTACTGCCTTGTGTGCCCTTGGAGGAATAGCCACTTGCCAACTGCCTGCCTTCCCCCTGGTGCTCAATTTAAAATAGAGTGCCCAAGATGGTAGTGGTCTATGTGGTACAGAGAACCACTACCAGCATCCAAAGTTGTAAAGTATTTATTAAAAAGAAAATGTTCACAAGCATTCTTTTAGCACAGCACCAGATTTAGCAAGGGATTCAAAAGAAATGGGTAAAATACAAATCCTCTGTCCCTCTCTCTATACATGTCCTATTGGATATTAAAATAGGACAGGCTCCTAAAGCTTAGGAAGTTACAGATCTACACAGAGTTCCATTGCCTTGAAGCTTTCTGTAGCTCTCTGAGGCAGCACATCATCAAATGGCTGCCTCCTCCAGACCTCAGTTAAGAGTTCTATCTGCCCTGATGGACTTAGCACAAAAAGAGACCTCCTCATTACTGCAAGGAGTTTTTATCAAATTGGTTTCTCCACCCCCTGACCTGGTCAGGCCAAGTCAAGGAAGCTTTTTATGAAGCCTCCTGAAGACTTTCTAGTATTTAGTTCCTCCAAACCTGTTCCCTGCTTGGAGGGGGGGGGGATTTGATCCGCCCATTACCTCTCCTGCTAGATCTATTAGCACTTATATGAAGGTAAGTTGGAAAGCAACTGGACTGCCCTCCCCCCTTCCTGCCTGTTCTCTGCCCAGAGAGAAAACAAACTTTTAAAACGTGGAGTGAAGGTTTTGCTCATTTCAAACCTCCAAAGAAAAAAGGTCTCTCTTCACAGGCATCATGCCCACAAACCTGTAATCCTGTGGAGGTATGGCCAGTATGCTGAGTCAGACAATTATCTATCAAGGTGAGTACTGATTAGCTCTCCAGGGTCTCAGGTGGAGGGCTTTCACATCACCTGCTGCCTGATCCCTTCAACTGGAGATATCACAGATTGAACCTGGGAGCTTCTGCACATGAAGATGTTCTACCACTGAACCACAGTTCCAAGTACACAAGCAAGTAGCACATGATCTATAAAGAATCACTGGAGAACAATGCCCGCCCCTACATAAGGAAATTCATTTAAGACACATCCCTGACCTATCTACAACAGCCCTGCACTAATAATGTCGGTAGAATTACCCGAACTCTAGGATTAAAATTCAAAATCCATACATGTTAAAGATAATTCAGAAATCCTAGTACCGTTTTCAAATTCAGTTCATGCTTACTCAAATGTTACCACAATTCTTAAACTATTTCATGATGTAAATCCATGGTTTAGCACACGGTAATAACAGGTTTGCTTAGGCATAGAACAAAAAGCTGAAAGAATTCACGAAGCACACAAGGGAGCTTCCATTTAAATTAATAGCATTTTTAAGGAGACTTAACTGTATACATTATAGCTTTTAAGAACAAGCTTTTATTAGACAATGAATATGTGGGGGGAGGGCAGAATAGTAAATGTTGCTTTGGCTATAACGCACAAGCTCTCTGTCACGGAAAGTAGGGTTTTCAAAGTCCTGCCAACTCAGGATATTGAAAAAAAATCCCAAGTTTAGCTGTTAATTTTTAAAGAGTCCAACAATTGATTTGGGGGTCCCCCCCCCCACCTTCGTATGAAATGGAAATTATTATGAGCTGAGCCGTGAATCCTGCAGCTTTAACGTCACATTTAAAGCAAGGATGAAAGTTGAAAGAATTCAGATGAAACAGACAGAAAAGGCTCCAATTTTAACTCATATAAAAGATATGATGCCATGACCCATTACTCAAGGCCCACAAAACAGACAAAGAACAGGAAGTGGTCTAACTGCAGAAACCTCTTCGCCTTGTCATACAAATGATATCCTCCTCCACCCTGCCTCCTTTTGCCCTACTTCCCACTAGGCTGCAGCCAGTTGTGTCCTTTCGGGCCAACCAAACTGAATCGGGACCTTCTGCGTGCCAAGCAGATGCCCTGCTGCTAAGCCACGGCCTCAGGTATACACACGGGGCATTCATTATAAACCTCCAGGTTCCAACAAATCAACTCTGAAGAACCACCAGAGCACAACGTCCCTCTGCAATTGTTCTACAGCACAGACCTAACTACCATAGCCCAGCACTACCACGACTGTGCACGACCAGTCAGCCATGATCGGTCACAGATGGGGGACGGGGTAGAGGGAGGAAGACAACTTAACCCTCTCTTTGAGTCTTGTCGTTCCCATAAAGCGCTGAGAATTCTTTTGCAACTGGATCGAACTGGTTTGCATAGATAACGCAGAGTTTGCCACTAATGCTGCCAGTCTATTTAGCTTGAGAACTTGCAGGAGGGCCAAAGGGAGGTGGGCCCTCACTTAAGTTGGGAAGAGACTTTCCAGCAAGCTGCCTGCTCTCTTCCAGTACATTTTCTTCTGGGTGTGGAACAGCGGTCACCGGGGGGGGGGGTATTTGTGAATTTCCTGTATTGTGCAAGGGGGTTGGACTACATGACCCTGGAGGTCCCTTCCAACTCTATGATTCTAGGAACATCTCCCGATTTAACTATCCCATTTTTATCTCACCCTTCCTCTAAGGAGATCAAAGTGGCACACATGGCTCTCTCCTCTTTGGTTTTACCCTCACAGCAATAACTCTGTGAGGCAGATCAAGATGGGTAGCCACATTGGTCTGCCTGCAGCAGTAGAAAAGAGCAAGAGTCCAGGCGCACCTTAAAGTGACAAAATCTGTGGCAGGGCAGGCACTTTCATGAAGAAGTGAGCACTGACTCACGAAAGCTCATCCCCTGCCACAAATTTTGTTAGTCTTTGAGGTACTGCTGGACTCTTGCTCTGTGAGGCAGGTCAAACTGAGAGAATGGCTGGCCCAAAGTGACCCACTGAGATTCATGGCCAAATGGGCAATGCTCCCTCTAAGCTTGTGAAGTCTTGTGAGCAAAAAAATCTACTTTGTGAGCTACTGGAATTAAAACTGTGAGCGAGCGATTTGGCTACTGCATCAATTAGTTTGCTCGGGAGCCATCCTTCCTGAGCTAAGACAATGTGTGAGCCGGAGGCTAAAAAACTGTGAGCTAGCTCACACTAATTCAGCTTAGAGGGAACACTGAACCTGGGTGTTTCCAGTCCTAGTCAGATACTCTGACTACTACACCGGCTCTGCAGTCAGCGCTCAGGAAGATTTTGAGTGTGGATGGCTGGTTCAGGGGCATGGTGAACGGCACTGAAAGCTCCTCACGATGTCTCCCAAATGAATGGAGTAGCAGAGGAAGAAATCTGCAATTCCTGCCTCATCCCTGCCAGCCTCTGTCTAGTGCGGCCATGATACTCTCGCTCACTAGAAGAGTTCCACCAAGGTTAGCTGTTTTCAGACCACCTCATAGCTCTTAAGGGTGGTACAGGCCACCAAGTACGTGACAGATACCAGAACTTGAGGACTTAGTAGTGGTGGTGGGGAAACTG